TTCTTACAAAACAATCTAAATTTAAAAGTGATCTGGCTTCTGGATCTAACTACCAATGTATAGGAATTATAGGAGACAGAGCAACAAGGTAAATGACACCTCAGGTGCAATCACCAAACTGTGGAAGCCTTTATAGAACACGTGACCCAGCTTCTTAAACAAAAAACAGCACGAGTGGCAGAGAAAGTATACCTAGAAGAAAGTTAAGAGACATGTAAACCAATTGTAATGTCTCCTCATTCAAACTAACCAAATGTAAAAAAAAAAAAAAGAAGCTGAGATAATTTGAACAGTGGATATTTAAAATTAATAAATAACTTTAGTATTATAATATAGTGATATCATAAAAGGGCCCTTATCTTTTAGAGATCCTGAAATTTGTGCACAAAATAATATACTATATTGGGTTTACTTGAAAATTATTCAGGGGGAGGAGTAAGTGGTCAAGGTTATAGCTCAGGCGGTGGCAAACTATGGCCCAGAGGCCAAATCCAGCTCACCGCCCGTTTTTGCAAATGAAGTTTATTAGAACACAGTCATGCTCATTTGTTTATGTGTGGTCTGTGGGCGCTTTCCTGCAACAATGGCAGAGTTCGGTAGTTGTGATAGGAACAATATGGCCCTCAATGCCTAAGATATTTGCTGTCTTGCCCTATGCAGAAAAAGCTTCTGATACCTGTTATAGCAAAATCAAAATGGGCTATGAGTGGATTATAAGCACAGCTGGGTGATGCTTATATGGCGATGAGAGATTGTATTATGGAACATGCAATGTTTTAAAATCTAAACCACCAACCAGTACATACAGCTTTAGGAAAAGGCTTTAACTTGGCCCTTGACTTTATCACTGAGGATGGCATCCTTGTTCCACCCCATAGTGCATCCTCCCCAACACTCAAGACAATCCCAGAGACTGTTCAAATGTGGTGTATCTGTCCACCTTGAGAACTACCTCAGAGCTTAGCAAGACCTTGGCCTGCCTTAGTCTGCCACATCAGAATGTCCAGTGACGCCTGGGTGGCTCAGTCGGTTAAGCATCTGCCTTCGGCTCAGGTCATGATCCCAGGGTCCTGAGATAGCCCCGCCTTGGGCTCCTTGCTCAGTGGAGAGCTTGCTTCTCCTTCTCCCACTCCCCCTGCTTGTGTTCCCTCTCTCGCTGTGTCTCTCTCTGTCAAATAAATAACTAAAATCTTTAAAAACAAAACAAAAGAGAAACAAAAACATCCAGAAGATTTCGTAGGAAGCCGCTTGGATCGTCTTTGCTTACTCACTGTCCTTTGAAGAGCCTACTGTTTCTAGAAAGAAATCCTTTGTTTTCAGGATAACAGACACTGTACCTCTCCAAGGAGTATCTCTGTTTCTTGGAAAAATAAATTGATCCTCTAATGCTGTGAAGCTAATGACACGAAAGCTATCAAAATTGAAACATAGTCACGATAAATCCTATATATCTTATAGATAAGCATACACACACGTATGTATCATGCTGCAAAACCCCCAAATAACCTCATTCCTCAAATACATTGACCAAATGTGGGGTTTCCTAGAGAAACGCAGAGCTAACAACTGTAAGAGCAAGTTAGGTCATTTTAGAAGTCCAGTTCTGGTTGCTCCAGCAAACAGGTCCTCTCAAGGTGTGCTACTGAACCACTGAGAGCCAGAAAGATGAGTGAAACAGTGTTCCTGGCCTGAAGGGTCTGGTGGTAAAGGATTAGGATTGCAGCGGTTGGTAGAAACGAGAGGAAGAGGAGAAGCCATCGCAGTAGTTTCTCTTATTACGTACTTAGTACACTCACCTGCATGTGTTGAACATTCTAAGGATTTTATCTCACTTCATCTTTACAGTCAACTGTGAGGTAAGTATTATTGTCCTCATTTTACACATGGAAACACTAGTGCTTAGAGAGGAAGTGACTTACACCCATGCTCTGCCGTAGTCCAAGCTACTCTCCTAAACACTGTTGGTCGTTTAAACGCCGAAATGAACATTTTTCTTTTGTTTGCACCGTGGGGATGCATTTATAAAGAAGCTCCGGATGCGTGTCCCTGCACTGGGTTTCCCCTCATCTCTCATGAGTTGGATCTCATCTCTGATGAGTAACTTTAATAGGAATGAGACTTTTGTTTAAAGATTGATTATTTATTTATTTATATGACAGAGAGAGACATAGCGAGAGAGGGAACACAAGCAGGGGCAGGGGGAGAGGGAGAAGCAGGCTCTCCGCTGAGCAGGGAACCCAATGTGGGGCTCGATTCCAGGACCCTGGGATCATGACCTGAGCTGAAGGCAGACGCTTTATGACGGAGCCACCCAGGCACCCCAGGAATGAGACATTTTTGTTTGTGCAAAGTTTGAAGGATTATGTGAAGAGAAGAAATTGGCCTGCCTCATTCATGAATTTTGTAGTCACAGGGGAAGTTGGTGTCTATCATTGTTTTTTTATTCTGTAGTCTTTTAAGTAACCTCTACACCCAACGTGGGCCTGAAATTCGTGACCCTGAGATCAAGATCACATGCTCTGTGGACTGAACCAGCAAGGAGTCCTTCTATCTACCATTTTAAAGAAACACTGGAACTTGGCTCTCCATATAAATGTAAAAGTTGACAAATTAAAAAGTCTTTTTGGGGACACCTGGGTGGCTCGGTCAGTTGGCTCAGGTCGTGATTCCAGGGTCCTGGGATCAAGTCCCACATCGGGCTCCTTGCTCAGTGGAGAGTCTGCTTCTCTCTCCACCTCTGCCAGCTGCTTGTGCCCTCTCTCTCTCTCTCTCTCTCTCTCTGACAAATAAATAAATAAATAAAATCTTTAAAAAGTCTTTTTGCACACCACATACACAAAATTCTCTTTTGAGCACGTTGACAAGCAAGGCTAGCTCTGGCAAAACTATCATGAGGATTGCGTGTTGTACCATAAGTGTTTAACAACTGGCTCTCCTCCCAAAATATGTATCTATATGATAATTTTTACTATTATAAAGAATGTGTGCCAATTTACAAATAACAATAAAATAATACTCTATATTGTAAATTCCATATAGTCGATCAATTATCACAGAATGCTTTCATTGATCTTTGTTCAACTCCAGTATCTGTAGTCAAACTTCGGTTTCAACCAACAGATAAATTCAGTTACAAGATGAATGATGGTTGATGTGTTTGTTTATACTAAAGAGTAGAATGAAAGTGAAACAATAAAGACATATATCAGGACTTCACTTAGTCCTTATTACGGGAATCCTGTCTTTGCTAAATCAGATAATGGTTTTTGAATACTGAAAGACTATTTCCTCAAAATTTGTGATTCACAATGTAATGGCTAGAGAGATAGCACATACTTTTGAGTTTAATTTGCATTGTTAACATTTTCTCAAGTCTAGACAAACAACCAGCAATAAATCAAGCCCTGATTTAATTTGGCTATTTCCCTGTTCTAAACACTCCCACCATGGTCAACTTCAAACTACAATAATGATATCATTAAACCTTTACTTGAAAAAAAATGCATGGTAACAAGCCATTACACAGAAATCTATCATATATTTATAACAGACATAACCTCAAGTGCATAAATTATAGTAATATCCCGAAATGATTAGCGAATGATGAATTTGTTTTATAATTTATTTAATTGTAAGTTTGTATTAAATTGAACTGTATAAAATTACTGATAGGCAACCATTTTTTGATCTACAAAGGTTAAGTTCATACAATTCAACCTAAAACATACTCAGGGAGTTTGAGATGGTGGAATTATTGGAGGGAGGGTTGGATAATGATGATGGTAATCAAAAGAACCTTTACTGTCTATTAAATTAAGCTTTCAAAGTGCTGGACACTGTGCTAAACCAAGTCTGGCTATCTGTGATTTTTCAACAACTACAGCAGAATTTCTTGTGATTCGATCTTATCTAGCTTCTCCCAGTTGGAAAATACTGAGACAGAGACTGGAGAATTTCTAACACTTTTAATTCAGTTAAGAATTTAACACAATATAGGGGCGCCTGGGTGGCTCAGTGGGTTAAGCCTCTGCCTTCGGCTCAGGTCATGATCTCAGGGTTCTGGGATTGAGCCCCGCATCGGGTTCTCTGCTCAGCAGGGAGCCTGCTTCCCTTCCTCTCTCTCTGCCTGCCTATCTGCCTACTTGTGATCTCTGCCTGTCAAATAAATAAATAAAATCTTTATAAAAAAAAAAGAATTTAACACAATATATATGAAAGTGAAACACTATATATGTAAAATAGCATTCAGGATATTTGACACAATTTTTGAGCTAAGTATAGGAGAGAACAAGCACTCTTTTTGGAGCATGAAACTCAGTAATTGTCCTGGCTTAATTAAGTACATACTGTATTACCACCTGTGCATTTTGAGCTGTCTCACAGATTCTAAGATCTGGTTTCTTATCTGTGATTCGGATAATAATATCTGCCCAGATACATGTTCCAGTGATTGTGAGATTTAAATGGGAAAAGAAAATAAAGAGTGCCTTATGAACGGTCCAATTTTGTAAAGGTAGAGACTTATAGAATCACAGCTCTGTGTATTTGCCTCCAGGATAGCTTTCTGGGCTCTGCTCCCAGACTTGGGGCTGGGGGCAGGGGATAGGGAGCGGGGGTGGGGGCGGGGGAGGAGGGATGAGGGGGGTTAAGAGCTATCAGCTTTAGCAGTGTTAAGACATTACTAAACATTCATTTTATAAACAACTGCATTGCTGAATTAGCTTCTCAGGATTCTTCAAACTGCCTGTTCCCAACTGATCTATTTACAAACATAATTTTTAAAAAGAGAAAAAAGCCCTCCCTTTGACCTCAAGAAATTCAGGACAAATGCAATTCACAATGGAAAGCTCTAAAGCTCAGATGGGGGGAGGAATGTTCCCAGAAGCTTCATGTGTTTCAGGACTTGCAATGGCAATGCTGGGAGAGGACCAGCTCCCCTGCAAGGGAAAGAGCAGAGACCTGACCCTCCCTCTCTCCTACTCCACTTCTCCCTGTGGCGGTTTGCTTCGGGTATTTTGGGCTTATCTCGCTGACTCACTGTTGCTGTGAAAACAGGGATGAGCATGCTGTTGAAAGTGGCAGAAACCAGAGGAAACTAGTCACGAAAACCCTGACTCTCAGCTGATAGATTTCTTCCTGATAATTGCCACTACTACTTTTTTCCAGACTAGAGGAGATCTTCAGGAGCAAACCAGCAGCCACAGTTGCTTCAGCCCAAATTGACTGTGATCTCTTTCCCCATGCTTGAGGGTGCCGAGTTCTACTTTAACGTGGACCATGGCTACCTGGAAGGCCTGGTGCGAGGGTGCAAAGCCAGCCTCCTGACCCAGCAGGACTACATCAACCTGGTCCAGTGTGAGACCCTGGAAGGTACGTGCTGCTCTTCTCCCCATTTACAAAGGGGAAAAAGGAAATGATGCTGCTCATTGGAAGCGTGGAGAAGGGACTGTGTTCCCATGGCCTGCGAGTCCAGAACAGGTTCTTATTCCCTGGGTCCAGACTTCAGGGTCTGTGAACTTGGATGGGGAAAAAAATTACATCTTGCTTTTCAGTTTTCTCTAAGTAAAATTTCAGCATTTCTTTTTATTATGAATGGAGGCAACAAATCACAGTGGTTAGTACTTTGTCAACAAATAGTAAAAATTAGATACTTTCATATCTCTGTACAATTCTTGCAGATATTTTGAAATATCATAATTTCATGGTTTCACAATTATACTAGGTGTTAACTTATTCTTTTTTTTTTTTTTTTTTAATCAGAGACATCACAAGTAGGCAGAGAGGCAGGCAGAGAGAGAGAGGGAAACAGGCTTTCTGCCGAGCAGAGAGTCCGATGCGGGGCTCAATCCCAGAACCCTGAGATCATGACCTGAGCCGAAGGCAGAGGCTTAACCCACTGAGCCACCCAGGCACCCCAGTATTGCACTTATTCTTTAATCTTGGTATTTAATCTCTTAAGAAAGAAGTACAATGTCATACTTTATTTTTAATTTTTTTTTTTTTTTGAGAGAGAGCACATGTGCAAGAGAAGGGGGAGGTGCAGAGGGAGAGGGAGGGAATCTTAAGCAGACTCTGGGCAGGGCTGGATTTCACCCTGAGATCGTGACCAGAGCCAAAATCGAGAGCAGGATGCTCAAACCACACATATTAAAACATTTTGATAACCATAGTTTAACATATTGTGTTTACTTTGTAATTGTATGTATTTTCATTTCATTATTTATAAATAATATTTGCAGAAGGACTTAGTCAAAGTGCCCAGGGGTGAATGTCCCCCCACTAAATGCTAAGAAACTTGGGCTAGAAAATTTTATTCTATACCCAGTTTCTCAGTATATATTGATATGAGATTTATTTGAGGTTTCTCTTTAACTGAAGCTTAAGGAAAAAGCCAAGAGATGGGTGGGTGGTGAGGCCAGCCCTGTATTCAAAAGTACTGACTTTGACCTCTGCTCTATCTAGGTAGGGTGGCCTAAGGCTCATGGCCTCTGAGGCTGAGTCCTCACTTGTAAAATGCAATGGTAATGTCTGCTTTGCCTGCTTTGTTTGGAGAAATAAATGAAGTAATACCTGAGAGATACATTAGAAACCATGAAGCACTATGTAAATAGAAAATACTTTTTTAAAGCACTTTATTGAGGTATGATTGACAGACATAAAACTGTATATATTTAACGTATGCAACCTGATAAGATTAGAGGTAAGTATACCTCCATGAAACCATCAGCATCATTGATGCCATAAATCTATCCGTGACCTCCAAAAGTTTCTTCCTGCCCTCTGTTATTTTGTTTGCACATGAGCGTGTGTGTGTGTCTGTCTGTCTGTCTGTCTGTGTGTGTTAACTACTTTCTGTATGCTGTACAGTAGATCTCTGGGACTTATTTACTTTGTGTTTCTGAAACTTCGTACCTATTGACTTACATCTCCCCATTTCTCCCTTTATTCTGGAAATCATCTTTAAGCTACAATATTTTCAAAACTTTACCAAAGATTTCACATCTCTAATACAGTATTTTTATTATAAAAACAGCTACACTAGGGGCGCCTGGGTGGCTCAGTGGGTTGAGCCGCTGCCTTCGGCTCAGGTCATGATCTCAGAGTCCTGGGATCGAGCCCCGCATCGGGCTCTCTGCTCTCTAGGGGAGCCTGCTTCCTCCTCTCTCTCTGCCTGCCTCTCTGCCTACTTGTGATCTCTCTGTCAAATAAATAAATAAAATCTTTAAAAAAAAAAAAAAAAAAAAAAAAACAGCTACACTAGTTCATTTTGAAATGTACTTATAAAATCAACATATGTCAATAATAAGGTGCTTTAAGACCACAAGATTATTCTAGAAAAAACAAGAAAGCAATATGGATCAAAACTGCTAGGAAAGGTGTTAAAAGCAAAAACAAAACAAAACAAACCTGAAGGTGACTTGGCAGAGGCTGGGGGTCCTGGGTCACTTGTTTGTGGTTCTGAGCAGTTAGAGCCAGAGTTAAGGCAGAGCTGGTCAGTCTGAGGTAGATGCTCTCCTTTCCCTAGCAGTGGAGACAGCTAGAAAAATCTTTCAGATGATAAATAATTCTGTTAGCTGCAAATAATCACAATATAATTCCAACCCCTAACTCACATCAACATATTAAATGAGGAGTTTGGTGACTGGAGGATGTGAATCGTGTACAGAAAATCTGTGCAAGTATGGTGGTAACTTCATAGTGTGATAGATAGTAACTACACTTACTGCAATGAACATTTCATAAGGGTGTATATTTGTGGAATCACTGTGTCCTAAACCTGAAACTAATATAATGTACGTCAGCTATACTTGAATAAAAAGAGAAAATGTACTTAAACTGAAGTACAAAAAGTGAATGAATACAGGGAGTGTTTCTCGTAGTGATCCGAAGGGGAACGTGCACCCGAATGTTTATAGCAGCAATGTCTACAATAGCCAAACTATGGAAAGAACCTAGATGTCCATCAACAGACGAATGGATAAAGAAGATGTGGTATATATACACAATGGAATACTATGCAGCCATCAAAAGAAATGAAATCTTGCCATTTGCGACGACGTGGATGGAACTAGAGGGTATCATGCTTAGCGAAATAAGTCAATCGGAGAAAGACATCTATCATATGATCTCCCTGAAATGAGGGAGAGGAGATGCAACATGGTGGGTTAAGGGGGTAGGAGAAGAGTAAATGAAACAAGATGGGATTGGGAGGAAGACAAACCATAAGTGACTCTTAATCTCACAAAACAAACTGAGGGTTGATGGGGGGAGGGGTGTTGGGAGGGGGGGTGGGGTTATGGACATTGGGGAGGGTATGTGCTATGGTGAGTGCTGTGAAGTGTGTAGACCTGGCGATTCACAGATCTGTACCCCTGGGGATAAAAATATATTATATGTTTATAAAAAATAAAATAAAAAAAAAGAATAAAAAAAAAAGAATGAGTGTTTCTAACAGAAGCCACTTAAAAGAATTGTACTTATTTTTCAGTCAAGCTTTTACTTTTTAAATTTTTTTAAAGTTTATTTATTTAAGTCATCTCTACACCCAACGTGGGGCTTGAACTCATGACCCCAAGGTCAAGAGTCTGAGCTCCGCCAACTGAGCCAGCCAGGCACCTCCAGCCAAGCTTTTAAATGAGCTAAAGAATGCAAATTTTAACACAAACAATACATAAGATGCCTAAAATGTGATACAAAATTACGTTTAGCCAACTCACTAAAGAACCCTCAACTTCAATTTGGGAGAGAAAAAAGGGTTTCGGACCCTTTTGAAGACCTGAAGAAAGAATCTTCTTAGAAAATACACAGGTGCATGCATACAGAATTTTCCATGTACTATCAGGGGTCATGGACCACCCAGAGCCGTCCCTGCACCCTCTTAAGAAACCCTGGCACTTAACACCATTGCTTTATTGTCCTTGTGCTTCAGCTTTTATCTTACTTCCCTCCTAATAATATATTTTTTTCAACCATTCATTTCACAACTATGTTTGAATCCGTGGGCCAGTCTGTTTGGAGACTCCCAGGAATATCATGTGTGAGTCATTAACCGCACGTTCTAATGGCTGCTGAGAAAAGAAATCTAAATAAGGATTTCACGTCTACAGGTGACAGTTAAGCACACCAATGCTTAAAATGGTCACGGCTAGTCTGACGCTCTAGTCAAGGAGTGCAGGCATATCCGCATCTCTTTTTCCACTAAAATGTCCATGTCTCCTGAGCATGAACTGAAAATAAATGATTATTGTCTATGTTGATACCATTTTTTTTAAAGATTCTATTTATTTATTTGACAGACAGAGGGAGAGCGTAGAAGAGGGAATGGCAGGCAGAGGCAGAGAGAGAGGGAGAAGCGGACTCCTGCCAAGCACAGAGCCCTGTGCTGGGCTCCGTCCAAGGACTCCGGTATCATGACTTGAGCCTAAGACAGACACTTAACAGCCGAGCCACCAGGCACCCAGCTCCATTTTGATAAAGAAAATAATAAGGTCTGCTCTACTGATTATTCCACAGGATGTTGGAAAATTACTTGTGAAAAGCAGTGCAACTGTTGCACCTGCAAATGTGCTGAGAGAAACCCAACGGTCTCCTGAACTGGATATCTTGAGAATTGAGAAGAGGGGCAGCAGGCTGGCTAAATCAGTAAAACATGTGACTCTTGATCTTGGGCTTCTAAGTTCACGCCCCATATTGGATGTAGAGATCACTTAAAAATAAAATATTTTTAAAAAGAGAGTTGGAGGGGCTCCTGGATGGCTTAGTGGGTTAAGCTCTGCCTTTGGCTCAGGTCATGATCTCAGGGTCCTGGGATAGAGCCCTACATTGGGGCTCAGCAGGGAGCTTGCTTCCCCCTCTCTCTCTGCCTGCCTCTCTGCCTGCTTGTAATCTATCTCTCTCTGTATCTCTCTCTCTCTGTCAAATAAATAAATAAATCTTTAAAAAAAGAGAGAGACTTGGAGAGAAGAAATCAAGGTCATTTACTGGAACAGATGTTAAGGACTTTGGGATTTCTTTTTACGTTTGCACAAAATATGCCTTGTGCCAGTAATGGATGAAGAAGAGTAGGTAAGACTGTCACTGTGGCACCCTGTGTTGACACAGACACTTTCTGCAGAAGAAAAGCTAACTTAGCAAAGATTAAATTTGCCTTTAGTCTTTTCAAGTTCTCTAGACTTCAGAAGTGTTTTGATACTGACAAATTATTTTATAATTACTTAGAAAGAATACATATGATTTCAGGTAAATTTAGAAGAGAAAATGAAGATTGTCTAGCAAAGCTTTGAAACGTCCTAGAATTCATTCTTGTGCTTAACTGCGTATATAATTGTGCCAGTGTGATCAGAATACTCATCTGTTCCAAGGTCTGCCCC